GCCCTCACGTAAACTATCAGCTAAATAATTCTTCTGATACTATCCGTCCTATCACTATGCCCATATCTGGATGCCAAGATCTCTGCCTCAAGCCTTTGCACTTACTATAGGCCTTGTGTCCTGTCCTTTCTGCTTTTGGCAACCTGGCTCACCTAGTTTGACCAGGCCCAGCTCAATTGCCCTCTCCTCCAGGAAGCCTTCTTTGCTTTGCTCCACAACCGCCCCCCCCCGCCCCCGCCACAGTTAGAAAGGAGTTGTTCATTGCTTTTAAGCAGACCTTGGAAGGATATCAGGGCTGCAAAGCAGGATAGTTATGAGACCCCAGGGATCACATAGCAGTGGGCTGGGCATGGTAGATGGACCCAAGGTTTGTTCTTGGGATTTTGACAGTCCAACAGAGCTTTCCAGAATTGTGGGAAGTCTAGGGAAACCCAATGACAAGATCACTTTTAGTAGCCTCCCAGAACTGATCCTGGCCCTGAATTCCAGCAGGTGTCCACCATCCTCCTCTGGATTTCATGCCTTTCTGCTCCTTTTATCAGGGACTGTTTTGCCCCACCCATCAAGGTTAGGCATGAATATCTCTGAGACCATTCCTGATTTTACTTTCCCATATCCAACCTCAAGAAGAATGATTTCACTGTTGATGGAGGATGAAAACAGGGCTTCAGATCTCAGCTGTAATGGTCCCTAGCTTAATGACTACTCAAGGTGGGATTGGACCCTATTCCTTTCAAGAGGTTATCTGCTCATACACCCAGGCTGGTGCGATTGAACCCAGCCTGGGCCAGCTAGATAATAATGACATTTGCATTAAAAAAATCGTCAGGGGGTGGTGCCTGTGGCTCAAAGGATTAGGGCGCTGGCTCCATATGCTGGAGGTGGTGGGTTCAAAACCAGCCTCAGCCAAAACTGCAGAAAACAGTTAGTCAGGCATTGTGGTGGGCTCCTGTAGTCTCAGATACTAGTGAGGCTGAGACGATTGAATTGCTTGACCCCAAGAGTTTGAGGTTGCTGTGAGCTGTGACTTCACTGCACTCTACTGAGTGTGACATAGTGACATGATCTAAAAAAAAAAAAAAAAAAGGAAGAAAAAAAAGAAAAAAACCCAAACAAACCGGGGGCGATGCCTGTGGCTCAAATGAGTAAAGCGCTAGCCCCATATGCCAGAGGTGGCAGGTTCAAACCCAGACCTGGCCAAAAACTGCAAACAAACTAACAAACAAAAAACCCCCAGAGGTCATTTGCTAAGCTGCCTTCATTTTCTGAGTCAGTATCAATACGAAATACTGTCTCACATAGGAGTGACTTAGTTTCAATGCTCACATCTGGGCACCCAATGTGGAACGTGGAACACACACTAACTGCATCATATTAGTTGGATTGTACATTCACTGTGAATGACGCCACTACAAATGGTACTCTAAGGTTAAAACCCATCCATCTATATAAACAATTACTTTAAGGGTGGAAGGTGAAGCAGCCCTGTGTGACTACGGGACAGTTCATCATGTTGTCCTACTCAGTCTGGAATCTCACAGGTAAAACTACCTGGGGAAGATGGACTATTAGTTCTCCAAGTACAGTTCTGAAATCTATTATGCATTTCAGATCTATCATCTAGGAGTCTGTGCAGAAGGAATGTAATTAGAGAATCACAGGGTATAAAAAGAGGCCATTTACTTCCATACAGGGTGTGAGAGCCCAGGTGGGTCCTAATGAATGGTAATGCTCTTCAAATTGCCTCGAATGAAATATCGGGGAAGCACGTGGGAGAGGATAAAGTGTCAGGGGCTACTGCCAGTGTGCCCATGCTGTCACCTGATGGAGCGGTTGTCCCACCAATTGAGGAAGGAGATCAAGGGACCAAGGATTTAGGCAGACAGGAGAGGGAATGCAGTGCCTGGTCACTGCTTCCAGTTTGGGGCCTCATGACTTCTGAACTGCGTCCTGCAGAACCTTACTGGTCACTCTACCTCTGCCTTGCCCTTAGCATGTTCAGGATGGGAATCTATAGTAACCAAATATCCACATATGGATTTGTGAAGGGGCGAAAGGGATCACTTCATATAGGGAGGTATGAGATCACCTACTGCCTTTCTTTCTTTGACAATGGGAGAACTTTCCTCGTGGCCAGAAAACACAACCCCTACCACCAAACCCATCCATTCAATGACCAGGAACATATAGGTCATATTTTTATCTTGAGTCAATATGATTTCCTTCATGGTGAATACTAAAACCCAC